TGTCTGCAGCTCCACTTCCCCTCATTTCTCACACTGGTGTTGCTGTACCACAGCAGAGCTGTTGCACCCCTGTGGCTGGTAAGTGCCCACAGCTCTTCTGGAATATCAGGGAGGCCACAACCCCAAATTTAGTTGCACCCAGAGCAGGACAGCAAGCCAAGAGGGGTTATTTAAAGGCAAGCCCAATGCCCCTGCAGTGCAAGAGCCATTAAACACATCAGCTAGAAGCAATTGGCAAGAGTTTCAGATCTCACCTTTCTGCTGAGCACAGGGCAGGGAAGCCTGAATGGGAAACCTACTGTCCTGCAAAGCAGGGACACAGGTGACATGTGCAGAGGAGCCATGGCCACAGCTGCTCCACAGCCCCCTTTGGCTGAGGTCATTCAGAGGTTGGCCCCAGTGCTTCCCCTTCGAGGTGACGTGGCACAGAAGCACCTGTCGGGGCTGCAGCACAACACAGCCCCCTTGATCCCTCCTGGCAGCACTGGAGCCAGGCTGGAGGTCAGTACCAGCACACACAGGCCACAGAGGCTCTTCGAGTCGAGTTTCTCCCTCTGCAGAACTGCCTCTTTTGGGTCATCAGCATCTTCCAGGGCACAGAACGCGCTGCTCACGTGCTCTAGACAAGCACGGGTTTTGCTTGGGACAGCTGGCAATGAAGAAACTCAAGGCTGTTTAAATGTGTCAATTCACCTTTAATGTTTGAAAAAAATAAATGGTATTTGAGCCATTGCAGTTATGAAGGGAACAGATCTTGCTCCACGAGAGACCGTGAACAGGTTCACATTAGACTCATGCTTGGAAAAAAAAACCCCAAACAAATCCAAAACATTCTCCTTTCAGACCCAGAGCAGAGTTCTGAAGAGACAAGACCACAAGAGTGCCCCAGACAGTCCAAGGCACATTACCCCAGCGCAGACATTTCCATCAACATGAAGTTATGACAGCTACATTCTTTCTAGTTACAACATTGTTCTATCAATATTACAAAATTAGGCATACTTTGGATTTTGCACAGAGACAAGAAGGACTTCTACTTCAGGAAGTAGTCAACCTGGGTCATTCAGTCATTTTACAACAAAAAGCTCCCTCCGCTCTGCCCTTGTTCTCCCCCAGCAGTGACTGGTTACCAACACCAAATTCAATTCGGAGACACAAGTTCAGCTCTCAAGCCCAGCAATTCGTCTATGCATTAGTTCGCAAACCAATAAATAGACCTTACGGCAAGCACCAGATATTTACTTGCCATCACACAACATTTCTCCACACCCAGATCAAAAGGACTTCCTGCAGTGTAATCCAAAAGTCAGGACATACTAAGACAACATC